GCGTGGTGGACTACAGCGGGTTTCGCAACCTCCGCAACGACTGCTACGCGTGCAGCGTGTTGACGATGCTGCTGCGGAGCCCGCGATTTCGTCGGGCCCTGCTTCAGGCGCCGCTTTCCCGCGCGTGGGGGCGCGCGCGCGGGGGGATGGGGGGTTTCCCCAACCCGGCGGATCCCCCTCGCCCGGGGAAACGACCTCGCCTCGAGGCGGGGGCGAGGACGGCGATCGGGTTGGGGGGGGGGGATCGAAGAGGACGAGGCCGACAACCCCCCTTTTCGCCCGACCCTCCACAGCGCCCTTCTTCGTCTGCTGCACGAGCAGCACGAGCGGGAGCGGGCGACCGCGCGGCCGCGTGCCCGCCACCCCTCCAGCGATCCCATTCGGGACGCGTACGGGGTCGATCTCGCCCCGGTCGCGTTCTTTTTCGATCAGTTCTTCACCGGCGAGCAGGAGGACGCGCATGAGTTCTTCGTCGCGCTCATCAGCAAACTCGAGGAGGAGGCGCTGGGGTTTGAGCGGGGGGTGATCCCCTCGCAAGGGTCCTCCGACGCGGGAAGCCACGACGACCTCGAATCGGATTCCACCGCGAGCGAGACGGAGGATCGCGCAGGGTCCTCCGAAGCCGCAGGCGGGGGATGGATGCGCACGGAAAAACCCCCGCCATCGCGGTCGCCCCCTCGGGATTTCGACCATCTTCTCGTCGGGAAGGCAGGGGAGGAGGGGAGAGGGCAGGACCCCGGGGAAGAAGGTCGCGCGGAGGCCTCCAACCCCGCCTCCACCGCCTCGTTGAGCGCTTCGCTGTGGATTAACGCGCTCATCCAGGGGGCGTTGCTGAATATCATCCGTTGCCGCCGCCCGGGTTGCCTTCATCACATCGTCACCCGGGAGCCCTTCATCAACCTCTCCGTCGGCCTCAACCCGGGGGAATCGGAAGGGTGGGAAAAGGCAGAGGAGGGAAAGGGAAGTTCGTCGCGTCCGTGGGAGCTTCGCCAGCTGCTTCGCCGCTCCGTTTGTTCGTATGAGCGGCTGGAAGGGTACGTCTGTGATGCCTGCGGCTCGAAGGAGGCGCAGTTTCAGGGCGGCTGTTTCTACGGCAGCCCGCCTCCCGTGCTCGTGTTGCAGCTCAAACGCTTTGCCGTCGGCTTCACGCCCGACTGCACGGCGGTTTTCACGAAGGATGAACGCGAGGTGGGGATAGGGGAGACGATGGAGCTTTTTTCCCTCCCCGAGGGTGGGGATTACGACGTGGCGGCGAAACGCTTCACAGAAGGATTGCTGAAGGCGGAGCAGGCGGTCGCGCAGGGTAAGGGAGGGGGGGGTTCGTCCACCTTGGATGCGCAAAACCTCATCGACGCGATTTGGACGCGATATCGTCTGCAAGGGACGATTCTGCACTACGGGAAAAATCTGTACTCCGGGCATTACGTCGCCGAATTCGCAGTGGACTGCCACCTCGACGAATCCGAGCATCTCAGGGCTCCCCCAGTCCCGAGCAGCGAGGTGAAGGAGTCCTCGAAGAGCCGGTCGAATGCGAGATCCGAAGGATCCGTTGAGGGGGAAGACGCTTCATTCAGCGAGGACGCCCTGCCGGTGCAGGGGCCCCCCTCAAGGCGGCTTTGGAAGCTCGCCAATGACGAATGTGTGCTGACGGAGCCTGTGGCGAATCTAAAAGGGCGGCAGCGTCGTAATGAGCAGTGTTATTTGTTGCTATACGAAAAGGTGATCGAAGAGCGAGTGCGCTGCCCTCTGTGGAAGGTGTTGCCACGCCCCCCTAAGTCATGGTATTAACAATCAGAGAGCTCCTATTTATTTACTTTATTACCCTTCTTCCTTGTATACCCGCACCCTTTTCCTGTACGTATCGTCTGTCCTTTCATTGGGCATGGCGTCTTTTTCTTGATTTTAAGTATTTATAGCATATTTGAGCATCTTTTTTTCTTTTTTTTTGAGGGGGGAGGGGGTAAGGCGTGCATGTGCGTGTGTATGAGTATGAGTATGTGTGTGTGAAAGTACTCCACTTATAGAAGGAAGTTTATAAATAGATCTATAATGGGTGACTAAGGCAATATTAAAATACGCGCTTCATCCCCATTTTTTCATCTAAATGTCAAAATCGTATGTATGTATGTATGTTTGTAAGTCTATTTGGAAGATGCTTATGGTGGAGTTGCTTCTATCTTCAATATTTTAGATTTCTTTCTCCCATTTCTCCCCTTACCGTTTAGTTTTTCTTTTTAATACGAGTGGGCAATCTACCACACCTCCCACCAGAAAATACCCAAGACCTTTTAAGCCTAAAGTATAGTTTTACCATACGAGATTAGTTTGTTTTCACTTCTCCCTCTATGTGTTAATGTGATTCATGCTCGGTATCACCTTTCTGGCCTTCGCCCACCTTTGTTTGACTTGTCTGCTACTGCATCTTCTCGCGGCGGGATGGATGCCGTATGAGGCCTTTCCACACACCCAAGGCGACGCAGCCGATTCCCGCGATCTCACCGCGGCGGATGCGCGGAATCGTGCACATCTCCTCACGAGTGCGCGTTTCCATTTTGTTATGGCCGCCCTCACCTTCCTCACGTTACGATACTTCACGACGGCGCCGTATGGGCGACATGCGGGGAAAACACGCTTGGGGTGGTCCTACCCCGCGAGGCTCGCCTGGCTTCTTCAGGAGGTCCCGACGCTGCTGAATGTGGGGTATTTCATCCTTTTCGAGTTCCCACGCCAGCGCTCTCGCTGGCGGCGGGGATGGGGGGATTCCGAAACCACCGGGATGCGGATCGGGATCGAGGCGGTCGGTCGATTTCAGGTTTCCATCCTGTTGTTTGTTATTCATTACGCGCATCGCGTGCTCGTCTACCCTTTGGTCGTCCCGCCGAGGGCCTCCCGTGTTCCCGTGCACGTGGTGTGGTCGGCTACCCTTTATTGTTTATTCAACGGCAGGCTACAGCTCCTCGCGAGTTTGATCCCGCTTCGCGCCTGCCGAATCTGGGGTTTGTCAGGTGTAGAAGGGGGTTCTTTATTCCACCTCGGTTCCTTCGTTTCCGGGCTCGTTCGTCCTTCGCCACCCCCGGCATCGTTCGCATGGAGTGCGCCTCAAGGAGCTCCGATGGGGAGCCCCAAGTCGTTATTTTTGGGCAACGCGGAGCGCGTGTGTTGCGGGGTGGCCTTTTTAATTGGAATGTACCTCTTCTTTAAAGGCTTTTTGGTTAATATTCGGTCGGACTACTACCTCACGCGGCTCAAAAGGCACTCGTCGGAGTACCAAATCCCCTGCGGGGACTGGTTTGAGCGGCTTAGTTGCCCGAACTTCTTTGGGGAAATGTTGGAGTGGACGGGGTACGCGTTGGTCGTCGGGAGTTGCTCTTTTCTGACGTCGGGAGGAGGATGGGGCGCCACCCCGGCGCTGGCGGCGTGTAGCTTTACAGTGTACGTATTTGCCAACCTAATTCCACGTGGTGTAGCACACCACGAATGGTACCTAGACAAATTTGGGCCTGCCTACGCTAAGTTGAATCGCAACGCTGTGTTACCAGGGATTTTGTAGCGTTGATTATTTTTGTTTAGAAAGCCCGAGAATTATTTAGGTGCCATTCCAATCTCGATAGAATGCTCCTCATCAAACGTTTGATTCATCCCACTATGACACCTGATGGTAGACGTGCCCATGTACTTTTTTTCTCCCCCTTCTTTTTGTTCCCTTCGCACTATTTTCTTCTTTTGAGCTGCAGTGTATGCACATATAGCTGCATATAGATACACATATATCTATATATACTTTTATTTATTTACACAAATAAATAAATAAATAAGTATATACATATACATATATATATACAACTATTTGTGCTAGTGTTGAACCCCTTTTAGAAAAGGAGGTAATAGAAGCCCTTTTCGAAGGAAATAGCACACTCCTTTCTTCTTCTAGTTATTTTATACAATTTTTTTATTTCTGGACCATTGTTGAGACACTCGTGAAGCGGTTCAGAAAGGCAAACGGAGGTTTTTTTTTGGTGCTTTCCAAGGTTATCCCCCCCTCCCGCTCACCTCCCTGAAGTTAGAAGGGATATTCCTTAAGTTATAGGCACGGCATTCATAGTCAGTATTCTTTTACCAGGCTTCTTTCGCTTTGTCGCCTGACCATTTTTCAATTTTTAGAACCCTAAACACCAAGGAAAGTCGTATTGTTTTGTGAGCCTTACGGCAGGCAGCGAAGCTAAATCCAGGAAGGTCATCCTCTCTTTCCCCCTTTCTACCTGTGCTCGGAAGGTAAATGTCGAGGGCTAGTATCGTCTCTCGACCTCGGGTGTACGTCCGAATCCGACCCCTCAACGAGCGGGAAAAGGTTGAAGGGAAAGGGGAGCGCATCTGCCATGGCGATCCCAGCGGGCAAGATGTGCTATACCTTAAAAAAGAGGATAACGGGGAGGAGATGCAGGTCCGCTTTGATCACGTCTTCGAGGAGCACAACACGCAGCTCGAGGTGTACGATTTCATCGGGCCCGAGGTGCAGCGGACGCTTTTTAGTGGCTACAACGCCTCGATCTTCGCCTACGGGCAAACGGGCAGCGGGAAGACGCACACGATTGAGGGCGACCGCACGATTGGCGGCGGCGGTGGTCTCCTTCCACACCTCGTCAAAGGCATCTTCGAAAACTTCGCGAAGAACCCGGATATCACGGACGCCCTCGTGGAGATCAGCCTCGTGCAGATTTATCAGGAGCACGTGCAGGATTTGTTGGATGGGCGGCGGCAGCTGGAGATTCGGATGGATCTCACAGGGCAGTACGTCGCCCGCGATGCGACGTGGCGGCAGGTGCGGAGCATGGAGGACTGCATGAAGGTCTACGTCGAGGCCTCGCGGAATCGGAGCACGTCGGCGACGGAGATGAACTTGGTTTCTTCTCGAAGTCATATGATCATGATGATGCGGATGCAATGGGATGAGCCCACCCTTCCGGGCTCCCACGCGCAGCTCAACGTGATCGATCTCGCGGGGTCGGAGCGGCTGCACGAGTCCGGCTCCACCGGGGAGGCCCTCATCGAGGCGATTCACATCAACAAATCGCTAAGCGCGCTCGGCAACGTCGTGATCAAACTTGTGGAGCAGGCGAAACGGCCGAAACGCCGGATCCACATCCCCTATAAGGATAGCAAGTTAACCTATTTGCTTCAATCCAGCCTCGGGGGGGCGAACCTTGTGCATTTCGTGCTTGCCGTTTCCCCGAGCTCGCTCTGGCGTAGCGAGACGATCTCCTCCATCGAGTTTGGCAAACGGGCTCTGCAGTTGGTGCTGCACCCGGTGCGTAACGCGATCGACTACAAGCGGCTCGCCGAGATGGAGGAGATGATCGAGCGGATGCGCAACCACATCGCCTCGCTCGAGGCGCAGCTGGAGAGCAAACGCACCACTGAGGCCGCCGATTTCCTTCGGATGAAGCAGATCTTCCAGTCCGACGAGGACGGCGCGAACTCGGATCGGAGGCGGCAGCACAACCTCCTCGCCGAGAAGCGCGGCTACACGCGAAAGCACCTCAAACGGAAGACGGAGCTCAGCCGGATCATAGCGAACCTCCCCGAGACCTTCGACGAGCTCACCTCGCATTGCGTGCTCTTCCCGGAGTCGAAGGCGACCTTTCGCGAGCTGGGGGGGCTGGAGAAGTTGGTGCACTTCGTGGAGAGCTCCGTCTCGACGTTCTACCGCTCCAACGCCGCGCAGACGATCGCGAGCGTGATCGACGAGGCCGGGTTGGAACTTTTCTCGAAACTCGACGGCCTGCGCGCGCTGACGCGGCTGCTGCAGGTCGAGGAGGAGCGCTGCAAGGAGGCCGCGTGTGTGGCCCTCGAGGCTGTCTGCCGGGGGTGTTTGAAGAACAAAGCCCTCCTCCCGCCGGCCGTCTACACGGAGTTGGTGAATTTGATCTACGATTATCCGAATCAGCAGGTGCAGGAGGCCGCCTGCGCGGCGGTCGCGACGATCGTCGACGCCTACCCCGAGGCGGTGTTGCGGTTTGAAGGGCTGGAGATCATCCCGAAGCTGCTGAACACCCTCCGCACCGCCCCGGCGGAGGTCGTGAATCTCACGAAAGCCGCGGCGAACTGCCTCGGCCGGCTCGCCCATGGGAATCCCCGCGCGCAGGCCCTCATCGCCTCCCTTGGGGGGGTGGATTTGCTCGTCGATGTGCTGTTCAGCCCGGGCGGGAGTCGGGATCACCAGGTCCCCATCCTCGCCTCCTACGCGTTGGTGAGTTTGTGTTGTAGCAGTAAGGCGAACATGCGGATCGTCGAGGCGCATCCGCGCTACCCGGAGGTGAAATTTCGCCTTCTCGAGGGCCTCGCGCGGGCCTTCGGGACGAACACCGCGCGGGAAGGATTCGGCCGCGCCACCGCGCAGGAGGCGACCGCCGCGTTTCCGTACTTCGGGATCACCGTGCAGGATCGCTGGGGGCCCTCCTCCTCCGGCGGGCGGCCGATTTTTTCCACCTTCATGGATAACCCGCAGTTTCACCTGCACGTGCACGACGAGACCGACATCGCCTTCATCCTCCAAGACACCCTCTACGAGGCCCGGATGCGGAAGAAGCTGCGAAACAGCGCGGTGTATATGGGGCTCGCGATCTTCGAAGGCGACCCCGAGCTCACCCGTCTCGGCCTCAAACAGCTCGACTTCCACAGCAAGATGGTGGAGATCGGGAAGTACACGTCGAATTGCGAGAACGTCCTGCACTGCCGGCTCCCGCCGAGCGCGACGCCGTACGTCGTGGTCGCCTTCACCAGTCAGCAGGGGCGGCAGACGGAGTTCGCCCTCTCCACCTTCGCGGATCGCCGGATCGAGCTGACGGCGGTGCCGGAGCAGGTAGGGTGGGTGCACACCGTCCTCGACGGCGCCTGGACGGAGTTCACCGGCCGTGGCGGGGATGGCTTTGACTGGCGATGCAACCCGCAAATTCTGCTCCACCCGAAGGAGAGCTGCCGGGTCGTTTTCGTGCTGTCCTACGTCGCCCTCGACGCCCAGCGCGCGGCGACGCGGCAGGAAAGCGAGGAGGCCCACAACCACCGCCCGAAGCTGCATGGTCGGCTCTTTCGAAACGACTTCGCGCCGGGGAAGCGGTACCTGAAGGCCCTCGTCCCCCTCCCAAAGGGCTCCACCTTCGTCGCCAGCAACGCGTTCGCGAGCAACTGCTACATCACGACCTCGGCCACCCTGCAAGGGGGGGGGCGCTACGTCTACGTCCCGTTCACCGAGGCGCCGTTTCAGGACGCCTTCCGGGTGTCCGTCTACTGCGACTCCAGCGAGGTCGCGATCACCCCGCTGGAGGCCGGGGGCGGGGGGGAGTGGTGCTGCACCTCCTTCGCCAGCGCCTGGGGGGATCGTCCGGCCTCGGCGCTGCTCGAGACCGTCGGGCGGATCGTCGTGGTCGCGTACAGCCCGGGGACGTTCCTTCGCGTGCGGCTTTACGACCCCGTGGAGGGCACCCGGGTGGGGGGGATTGACTCC